TTTACAAGTGTGGTATTGTTACTGTACTTTGGATTGGAATAGAATATACAACGATTATGTTCCTTTACTTCGTTCTCTTAGTAGATTACTAGGGGTTAGGAACCCCGAACCACGCTGCTGAACCCAACTTGACACACTCAGAGCGGCATAAGCAAAAGAATAACAAACATAAAAAGTCTGACATGTTTATTAATAACAATGAAAGTAATAATGAATGTTGTCACAGTGCATAAATGTACGTGTCTCACACACCACACAAACAGACATATACACATATAAATGTTCATATAGCACAAGACATTCACAAATCCTGGTCCCGAGGTGTGGGTCTGAGGGTCACCTTCCTGTCCTGCCAATGAACTGCTCCCGGGCTTCATCGTTGAAGTATTCTTGGAGGTAAAGCCTCTGAGACTTCCCAGTTTTATGGTCACGGTTTGGAGGCTCAGGAGAAGCCTTGTCTTCATCCAGTTGTACCCCTTACTTCCCTCCACCTGAGATAAGTCTATGATTTTCATCCTCATGGTCACCTTCTGTGTTCATGATGTCTGGGTACCTGGACCTCAGGGGGTTGTGAAGAACTATACAGCACTCTGTCATGGTCTGGACAATTTCGGGGGCTTGATACAACACAGTCATCCGACACCTCCCTTTGTTAGCCTGGATACCGAAAGCGTTCTCGCCCGTTCTGGATATGCGGTAGTTGTATATCAATGCTTCCTTGGTCATGTTCCTCTAGGACCATGGTTTCATTAGATATGTTCTTACGGCAAAAGTATCATCGGCCAATATGAAGTATGGCAAGTTCTTTGGTTCAAAGTCATCGTCAGGCCCAGCTTGCTCATAAGCTCGCCGGAAAGGTCGCCAGTACGCTCGCACCAGGGGGCACGACCGCATTACGACCAATTTGCGATCTATAAGACCGATTGCATCAGTCTCAATCAAGTAGCCAAAAAATGAAAATAAAGAATTTTTTTGTAGTAGACAGGTCGCACACGATATTCGGTGTAAACGGAAAGTCAAAATTGGTCGCCAAAAACTATGCGACCGTTCCGATCGATAATCACAGTGAGATTGCGTGTGGTCTCAGACAAGTCGCAGTTCGGTGTATCCCACCCATTAGCAACATCACGGCGGTTCTTCTCTTGAGTTGAGTAGTATACAACAGGAAGTATAAAACATATTTTATAAAGTTCGAAGGAAATATTGAAAGAAACTTGAAATGACGAGTAAATAATTGAAGTATCCACAAAATATTACAAAATTTCAAGTTTGGGAAAGACACTTGTAAATAATCAAAGTAACGACGAAAAAGAAGAAATGTGCTGACATTTTTTTTTAAATTGGGAAAAACTAATAAAATAATTGAAACAAATTGTGATATAATATGCTACCAAAGATCCACCATTAGACATTCGTACAACAGAGATAACACTCCTGCAGTAATGTTGCGACAGTGATTTCATCGTCTAACTTTGTAAATGCCTGTGCGTTATTTTAGGTGATGACGTCCTAGTCAGTTGGGAAACCTCAGGCTGTTAGGTACAAAAGTAAACTAAGCCTAATTATTGTTTGACGGATCCTTGAACAAAATTGGACAGCATACAATCACACTGATCGATCTTCTCCCAGAACAAATGACATCGATAAATTATTTAAATGCTTTCACAGTCTTAAGTTTTCATTCCATTACTCTGCTCGTATCAATGTTAACTATTGACATTTTAAGTTGTCATCGATTTGTTGCCATAGGGATTGTAAACAATTGCCATACATGGATAGAGTGATCAGTGCACTCTTGTTTTGATTTCAACTTGATAAAGACTCCCACTTGCCCGACCCTTTTTATATCAGATGTTGCATAATATAACCATGTATATAAATCACTGTGTCATATACTCACATTTCCAAGAACATGTAATCTGGATACATAAATCTCAACTCTTACACCGCATACACATTTCTGTGTAATTCTCGTTTGTGCCAAGCATATGACTTGAGACTGGTGATCATATACATGTATGTTACTTTGTAAAGGATGAATGAATCAGTTCAAAGCATTCAGCAATATTACATCAATACTTAGGGCAAATTGCAGCAATCATACCATGGCCTAATCGAATCGAGTCTGGAAAATGTTAAAGATAATGAGAAAACCGTAAATGAACAATTAATAATAACACAAAATGTGTTCAAAGAAGGTAAACCTAGTTTGTTTATGTAACTGAAAACTGAAAGAACGTTTCCAAGATTTGATTTTAATCTAAGCTGATGTACAAAAGAAAGTACACACCTGGTGTTTGGGGCAGTATACTCTTATAAAAAGCAGGGGACCTGAACTTTCAATTTGGATAGGAAGTATTAGCGCTGACAAACTTTTCAAATCAACGTCGCCTATACAGAATAAAGAAGTTGTATATCCATAAAATTAGTCCTCATTCTTTAAACTTTACAAAGACAGAAATCTCATGAACGCACCACCATTTCTCTTTACGCTGAGCCATGCTGTCCACCCCTATTTAATTAATGAGCTGACCCAGAGTCACTACAGGGTACGTATAGTAACAACACACTCCTATCTCCTGTGCCCTTCACAAAACATATTACTAATCCTTTTACTGAACAGAACAGAATAGAACCGAAATTTTATTCTAAAAAAGCACATATAGTGACACAGAGAACATACAGCATATTGATACGTATTATAACATTGAACAAAGTCCAGTTTTAATAAATTTGGCAACTTTAGAGTTAAGCGGTGAATAATCACTTTTCATTAGATAAACAAATTTTCATTAGTAGGATGTTTACAGAACTAATAAAAGTTCATCACAGACTTCTAACTTCACACTATGCATAAGCTCACCTCAATAAGCTCATTTACATGTTCGAGGCCAGTTACATCATGTTCATAAAGAAAACACTCAAGATCATGCAAGTATAAATAACTGGAGAATAGGACGTTTTTATAACAGTTGTTGAATTAGTTTTTGCAAATAACTGGAGAACAGGATGTTTTTAGTACTTAAAGATTATTTGAAGATGAAAGTGAAATGGCATTTATAAATTTCAGTATAAACAAAGTATATAACTGGAGAACAGGATGTTTTCTAATAGTTATTTTTCACATGACTTTTTATCCATGACTTTTTTCCTATGACTTTTTTCCGATCAACCTTCTAGATGGCTTCCTGTATACCTAGAACAAGGTGAAAGGAAAAAAGTGATGATGTTCATGTGACTTTCTAATAAGTCTTATCTGTGCACTGACAAACATGTGATGTAAAATAATATGGTGCTTGGTCTTTTTTATCTGGGCACATACCATTATTATCAAGGGTACAGCATAATTAAGCCTTATGCAACCAACCATAAAATGTGTTGTTTTAAGCGGTCTGTCTTTTTGGAGGTCTGTCTTATGGGAAGATACCACTGCAAGTAGTGATGCACTCTCAAAACATTCATAATTATCATTTCAACATTGATTGACTCCGATATATCTCCCAATTGTTTCAATCGTAATTTAAAAATGAAGTTCCCCTACATTTTGTGAAGAGTATATAACCAAATTATGATAATAATAACTCTAAATTTATTTTAAAACCGAGCGAAAAACTTCAGTCACAAAATTTACAAATTGTAATCTCAACATCCAACTCCATAGATTTAGACTATTATCAAGTCAGGGTTAATAATAACCACTCACTGGTTTCTTCAATTATTCACATAAATATAAAACACCATTCTTATTGTTAACGAATATTAATGGTGTAAAGTAAACCAGATGTGGCTTGAGTTACAACATAAAAAAGGTTCGAATCATTAGAGAAACATTTCACTCACTTAAGTTCTATCAATTATATTGATTTAACTTTATCCATGGCACCATACAACTAAAGAAATCGAACTGGTCGCCAATTCCGTAAAAAATATAAAGAAAGGTCCAAACGAAAGGAATATTGAATACATGACATGTTTTGTGGAAAACGTCTTGTTTTCTTGTTCTTTATCACGACTTTTCAAAGATAATTCATGCTTCTTCATCGGGTGAATGCTGAGTCAGTAAGTAAGTGAGTGAGTTGGGTTTTACGCCACCTTTAGCAATATTTCAGCAATAACACCACGGGGGACACAAGAAATAGGCTTCACACATTGGGGAATCGAACCCGGGTCTCTGGCGTGACGAGCGAACGCTTTAACCACTAGGCTACCCCACCGCCCCGCCGAGTCAGTGCACAGAGTTCATATATATATAATATATAGATAGTTTACACACCGCAAGGTGGAAGAATGTACAAGGATAACCTTTGGAGGTTCGGGTGTAATGTACAAGGATACCAATGCCAACCGGAGTAACGGTATAACAAATATGTAAGACGAAGATTGATCTTGGTTAATGGCTGGCTTCTTTCTTTGGATTTCGATGATTTCTTGAAGTTTTCTGCTTATTCAGGATTGATGTCGGTATGGACAATTTTCTTTTGTTGCCAGTAAGTATTGGGTCGGGATTGTTGATGAGGTGTTCCGAAATGGCAGATTTCATGATGTTAGATTTTTCAACAGAGGTCTTGCGTTCTTTTATTCTGGTGGCTCTGGGGCGTGATGTCTCTCCTATTTATGTCTCCACAGTAGCACGATATTTCATACACACATCCTCTAGTTTTTAGGGTGGGCTAGGTGGGCTATTTTCCGTTGGCATGTGACTAACTGTCTGAGGTGAAAGTGACCAGCTGTTCTGATAAACAGTCTTCTGATCAGGTGACAGGTAGGACCTTTGTATGGGATGCTGACGAGGATGGATGATGGGACTAGTTTGGGTTTAGGATCATTTTGCTGGGTAGCAAGGGTTTTCCGTACGGTTTTCTCCGCCAGATGGTTAGGTTATCCGTTTGGGGCGATTATGGTGTACTGGAGATGATTGATTTATTTGCTGAGGGTGTCCGAAACACAGATGGCAATGGCTCGTCGGTGAGGGTGGCAATGACAGCTTGTTTGTTCTGAGGATGGTGGTTTTGACAGGTAGTGAATGTACTGGTACGTGTGGGTGGTTGATTGGTTGAGTATAATTTTACGCCGCACTCAGCAATATTCCAGCTATATGGTAGCGGTCTGTAAATAATCGAGTCTGGGACAGACAATCCAGTGATCAACAGCATAAGCATCGATCTATGCAATTGGGATACAATGACATGTGCCAATCAAGTCAACGAGCCTGATCACCCGATTCCGTTAGTCGCCTCTTACGACAAGCATGGGTTACTGAAGATCAATTCTAACCCGGATCTTCCCGAGTACGTGTGGATGGGTTTGCGGTGGACGGCAGTGTGGAAGATGTCTTGACTGTTATGGAGGAAGGCTAACTGATAGGCTACTTGATGGCTAAAATACTGAAACAATTATTCCAATAACTTGTGAAGAAGTTATTTTAAAATGTCACGTGTTGGTCGATCGCTTAACATAAAACTCACAACACAGATAAGCAACCGGCATGTATTATCTTCAGAAACAGATTCCACATGTAAACGGCAAAATAGTGATCAAACTGATATGGAAGGATTCTAGAAATCACTAATTGTGGATCGATCAACATTCATTGCAAATATAAAGCGGAACGAATAGCACGCTTATTCCAACAGAAGATATGGAAGCTATAACAATGCTGGCTATTGTCCTAATGTTCTTTCTTTTCAAGGCTATTGCTGGAGATCATACCAGAAGTATGTACATCAGAAAGTATTCTGAGTGTACTCATTATATACCTCCAGTAAATGAAACTATAGTTGAGGCTGTCGACAGCAAGACATGTGCAGTACAGTGTGCGGAAGACATCAGCTGTGTGGCGTTGAGCATGTCAACGTCTGAAGGTGTTTGTATGGTCCACCGCCAGATGTTCCTTGAGGGTGTCTGCTATGCTGGAGACTGGGACCATTACAATGTAAGTCAACAGACTATTGTAATTTAGAACATTTGGCAGTTACGGAGAAAATGGGTTAGTTTTTGTGCTGTTTCACTTTTCTGGGCCAGTCATTACACAGAACGCCCCCCTACCCCCAATAATAATCAACCAAAACATAAGAAAAACATTTCAAAACCAACCCTCCCATTCTATAAACAAAGAGAAAGTAAAAATTAAAATATAAAGACAACGACAAAAAACAACAACATATTAATGAAAAAGAAGTAAAAGAAAAAGACCCAGGTGATATACAAGAAAACACACAAAAAAACCCGTCTTTCAAGTTGTTTTGAGTAGAATTTCGATTTTATGAACGTATACCTGTGTCAAAGGTGTTCTGATGTTATTAAAGTTTTCTGAGAAAACACAGCAAAGAATTGCTATAATAGAACTATTTCTCACCTTCTCGTTTTGTTATTTGCCAAAGTTTGAAATATGTTAATGATGATATGAAAACGATTTACTTTCAATTTTATTAACTCTTTTGTGAGCTTTTGAAGTGTCAGATAGTTTTTTACATAATCGTAGCAGGCATTTTCGATGTTAACTACTTGGGGTAGTCAAGACCCTAAAGCGTTCGCTCACCACGCCGATAACCCAGGTTCGATTCCCTACGTGTGTGAGGCCCTTAATTGGTGTAACATCTTGAGATATTGCTGGCACATTTTTAAGGCGATGTAAACACACATTCACTCAAATTACAAGAGTTATATGAGGATAATCTCTCTTGTGCATTGAACTTCTGTATTAAAACTAGTAGTACCATTTCGACAGTTTCAAATATCCAGTAGAACAGCAAAACAGTCGTCCGTTTTCAGAATCAGCTGTTGTGTTCATAGGCGTGCAATAAATATCTGCGGATACCAGGCTTGTCCTGATTATGATTTTTGGTGGTGGTGGGTTTTTACCAAATTTGTTAACGGTTAACAAGTTTCTAAGGAGTTTCATAATTTACTTCAGCTATAGACGATGGAGATAATGTAAAACTGAGTGTATAAAACTTTTTTACAACTTACAGGTCAAGAACCGCTGCATGAATTTGGGCAACTATGACGAGGACAAACGTACCTGTCAATGTTACGGCGGATATATCGGGCAGTACTGTGAAAGGATCATGCAAGGTATGAACTCTTGTGATCATGCGAAACGTAATTGCCAACTGTTTATATCTCGCCTCGATCCCAAGATTCACAATAAACTCAGTAGCACATTGTTACGGAAGGAGCGATGCTATTACAATTTACCACACTTGTGGCCTCAGTTTATTACAATTTACTGCACTTGCACCTGCCACTCAGTTCGAAAGATAGAAACTGAAACTGAATTTCTCGGGTGTTTTTTTATTTTTGTAAGATGATGGTGGTCGCAATTCACAATTTTTAATGAAATTGAACAAGCACGAAAATTCGAATTTCTTTGGAATCCGATCGTCTGTTGAGATGTCGTTGCATTTGTTATTACAATTTTCAGTGTTTTTGTACAGTAATCTATATCAACTCAACATTTTCAAAGTCCGGGTTTTGATTTCTATAATGCTTAGTCTCACATTTCAACATCTCTAATGTTTCCTTGAATAATAGGAAATAATATATTTGATTTGTATTTATCGCAGTTTAAGTTATTACAATTTGCCACACTTTTTATCACATTTTACCGCGTTGTTACAATTTACGTCGTAACACATACTTCAACTACAAAGGAAATGTTTTGTCCGAGACATTAAAACTGACTCTCAATGTGTTTCGTAAAACAAATCCATATACCAAACGTTTTACCTCACTTATAAGCATCGGGATATCTGTACTTTAACACAGCAGTCGTAATTCACAGTTATCTAACTGGATTTTCCGGTCCTTCGACCAGTTGATTGTCTACATTGTTAAAAGGCCGAAGTGCCAAGCCAGGCAAATATCTTCCATTTTAGGCGATTTTGTTAATGCCGAGTGGTACAGGCAGGGCAGGACATGGTTACCATTTTCACAAACACCTAGTATCATCTCTGATTTTCCGTGTGCCATTCATATTATTTTAACAACTATTTTAGCCTTTACACTTATTTGCTTCTAAAGGTAGGCTGGCTATACTTTGACAGTGACATATTTTATAGGTATTTTCGGTAGCAAACATGCCATAAATATTCTTGTTTGTGTAACGTTGTTCTGGGGGAGTGAAAAAAAGACAACACAATTATATTTGAAAATAATATTATCACAGAATTTTCCCAGTAAGAGCCGTTTTTTCCATGCTCTCATCAATACGAATAACCAAATTATATTTTCTCTTGTCAGTTCTTGTGTATGTCAGTAAACATCCAGAATTCAATGTGGAAGATTGCCATGTAAATTAAAGTGACCAATCCATATTAATAACGTACGATTTCGCTGCCAAACCTTTCGTCAGTATCCACCTTACAAACTCATGCAAAGGCAAATCAATTGTGCACCTTGAAATTGCCGTTGGATATAATCATTTGGCCACTGATGAATTACATTCGGAAATTTCCACCACGTGCCATAATGTTTCAAGAGGTCTTGAATATTACAATTCAGTTAAAGTAACTGTTCCTCGTGAGTTGAAAGCGGCCCAGTGGTACCTCAATACATTTAAAATGTAGATACATGCAGCTCTAGCGGCTAGAATTGTGTTTGTTGACTAAAGGAGATGAAAAGACATTGTCATGCAGTATCGTGGAGGGTATTTGTCATTTAATGCATAACAATATATATGGAAGAGATCATTTAGTCTAAATGGTCTCATTCGATTTCATTTAAGCCTTGTTAAATGCATGTTGTACAATATTCTTTAAATGTCTAAACTCTTTCAGATTGTTCTGAAGGATACACCACACATCATTATAACTCGGGATCAGGAATATACATGATACATCCAGTTTTGTCGCCAACCCCATTCCAAGTCTGGTGCAGAATGAATCATGGTGGCAACACTTTCGTTCAAAGGCGTAAGGATGGCTCCACCAATTTCAACCGGTCATGGCAAGAATACAAAGAGGGGTTTGGGGACCTTTCCAAGGACTTCTGGCTTGGAAACGAGCAAATTTCTTACATTACAAACGGGCGCAGTCACCAATTCGTCTTCTTAATCAAAGATGAGGGTTCTAATAAAACCAGACATCGGGTATATAGATATTTTACGTTATCCCAAGATGGCATGTACACAATGAGGTACCAATATACCTTTGGACATAACGACCCTCTAGCTCATGGGGGTGATTGTTTAGGTGAATTGAAAGGACAACCCTTCTCAACGTACGACCAGGATCCTGACGACAGCCCTCTGAACTGCGCTCAGGAGCACCAATCTGGATTCTGGTTCAAGAACTGCACTCCTTGCAACCCTAATGGCGTTTGGTCAGATACTCATGCCATGAAGCGAGCTCGCGTACCCGAGGAAATGTTCTGGACAGGAGATAACTTAATATTATCTTTCTTTGCTGTTTTGACAGCCCTGTAATCATCCAATATCAATATGCCCAAAATGTTCGCTTGATAGTGGTTGTAACCTAACCTTTTAAAATTATATGATATTAAACTACCTGCATCGCCAGTAGTTGTTAGGAATATCTCATCTCCTGGCGTAGTTTAACATAAGTATCCCATGCATTATATTGACTCCGAGCCAGTTAGTCCTTACTTTATCCCCTTGGCGCCCACCAACTACCAATTTTTAAGGTACTTTAGTGTGTCGCTGCACGGGTTTCGAAGTACCTATTACCTATCTATCGAATATCGAATTCTCGTGGCCCTCTCCACCGGAGTAAATCCATATTCAGTGAAGACGTAAAAGGAGTGTATGTGTATATGGTGTATATACACCACTATTCTGTAATTTCCTCGTTGAATGAAAGCTGTTGTCTATGACGTTCATGCTGATGTTTATCTAAATCCATGTCATATGTTCATCGTTGCAGAGGTTGGTCAGTGAAACAATTTCCCAGGATTATTCTCAATTTCAAGTCTTTTTTGAAAAACAGAAATATAAGCATACCACTGCATTTCATGATTTTGTGGATACGTGGGTTCTCCATGAATCTGTTTGTTGGTCGGTTTCAGCACCTAACCAAGTTGCCGTGTGTTTCTCATACTAGACATAAACTGTACCACATAATGAGCTATACACATGCTAAACATGAATTTATATCAAGCATTTTCTGTGGCAGGTAATACATTCTTTTATCAACAATTATTTTATATGTGTGTCGATAAGATCCCGTCTGTTTTTAGCAGGGTACATATAACGTATATTAATGGAACATTATCTTATATAAGCATCCGTAATATAGTTCATCATGGTGATGTAGTTATCGATGATGATGTGTCCATGATGCCATTGTTTAGTAACATATTTCAATTTGAAAGGGTTTGTCAAAACACAGCCAACATGCATGTGATGCATGCTACCCACTCATATCATAAAAATACAGTATCCCTGCCTGATCGTTCAAGGATATAAAACCTGTGAATATGACACCCGTTTCATCCATAGACGTTAATTTTCAATCAAAACTTTCATTGGGACTGAGATGGCAGATAGTGGGTGTGCATGCAGCTTGCATGTCATTCAAGGCCAGCGGGCGTCAGCTTGGTTACTGTCGCCAAGTCATCAGTAAACGTATCCAGAAACATCAATAAACATTCGCTGTCAAGGATCGACCAAGACAACACAGGAAAACCACTCCAGTGGAAGATCGTGTGGAATAAACCATTTGCCAACATATGTTTGTCAACCAAGACCCTGCGTAACGGTCTCAAGACTCTTGGTCTGAGGTCCCGAAGGGTGCTTAACTAAGTTCCCTGTGCATATTCAGCATATTGTAAGATAAATCAAACTGTAAATTGATTAAACGGTCACGTGTTAATTGTATATTATTCCAGAAATCATTACTATGATATATATGTCAAGAAATACCTACAACGAAAATATCAAAAAGTAAATAGATATCTTGAAAATATTGCTGAGAATAAACACATTCAGGTTTCGCAGGGTTCGGCCGAACATCGGGAACCTTTTATAGCCTAGCAGCAGAAGAAAACACTTCTCATTTTCTCATTTGTCAGTTACTGTCGGTGAATTCAGATGCCCCAGTCCACAAAAGTCAAGAATCAGAACAGGTTGCGTGTGACACAAGCAACACCGAGCTTCCATGCATATAATAATGTTTTATAGAGGAATCTAAAAAACCCATTCCGTTGCTTGGGATACAAATGAACTCACGTGTACAAAGCTCCTTCTTCTGTCTTCAAAGCCGATACTAGTTCGTATTCGTCGCTCTCGTTGAGAATGCATAATTGTTCATTCACAAAGTAGTTTATGGACCTGCACCGGACCCATCCTAGACATATTTTCACACATTTCAGGAAGGTGGCATTTGTCTGGCGATTATGCTCATCCTCGAGATTGAAATCCATTTTTATATGTGAAAATCTGGTTACGTTAGTACAGGTGGACCTACAGTCGCCGACATTCAAACTAGCAGCGATGACCAAGGATAACAGCACTTTCTTCATCATCGTGTTGGGAAACTCTGGGTCTTTGCATACGTGATTGTTACTAGTGCACAACTGGCGTCAGTGTTTTCAAGTGGAATGTTTATGTTTTGAAAATTTGGTCTGTTACGGTAAATTATTTATAAACCTGTTATCGCAATGGTCGATGTTGCGATGTGTTTCAGATTGAGACACTATATAACGCACTCCAATCACATCATCAAGGCACCGTTAATTAGAACCTCAGTCATACATGCGTGGTTCTTTTCCAACTCGTACGATAGCGACATAATGATCGATTATTGGAACAGATGTATGAATCCGATATCAGATGTTTGAACCTTTAGAATCTGAAATTGGTAATAACCAATACTTAATAGTCTTGTTTGTGCAAATGATCGTAACTAACTTGTATATGTCAATTATCCCATCGAGCTTTCATGCGTATGGAAACTATGTTAACAAGTTATATGAATAAATTATTTCAGTCACTCTGTCAGTAAAGGCTTTGTCGATATTATTGTGAATGTGATCTTCTGTATTTAAAATGAAAAGGACAGGGAGGACCTTACATCGCCAACCTTTGCACGTGAATAATGAGGTCACGTTGATTTGCCCACATCCTGAAGACAGCTCAAACCATTCACTCTAAATGCTGAGTGAATGAGTTAGTTTTACGCCGCTTTTAGCAATAATCTATCACGGCGGGGGACACCAGAAATGGACTTCACCCATTGTGTCCATGTGGGGAATCGAACCCGGGTTTTCAGCGTGACGAGCGACGGCTTTAACCATTAGGCTACTCCAACGCCCAATACCAACTGATTCTTGGTAACCCCCCCGCCCCCAACACCACCCTTTTAAAGACAATGTGGGTAGTAAGAAATCTTATTTAATGTCCACCTAACATGTATTGAATGTATGTGTGTCAGTATACATTTAGTAACATATTTTTTATTTGGCGCAATGATTTGACAGAAACATACTTTATTATTGAAACATATATTGTTTCCAGCCACTTCTCGTTTGCAAGTGATAAATAAGAAGATACGGGTTAGAATGTATCTTCACTAACCCATGCGGCAACTAACGGGATCGGGTGGTCAGGCTCGCTGACTTGGTTGACACATGTCGTCGTATCCTAATTGTGTAGATCGATGCTCATGCTGTTGATCACTGGGTTGTCTGGTCCAGACTCGATTATTTACAGACCGCCGCCATATAGCTGGAATATTGCTGAGTGTGGTGTAAAACTAAACTCACTCACTCACCCGATCAGTTATGTGCGCCGGACATGTTATCAGTTGACAATGAACAATAAGCGCTCATTGAAACCATCTGATACAAATAAGTCCTCTAGCAACAACAAAACAGGGAACTTTTTTTACAAATCGATGTTCATGCTGTTGATACTGAATTGAATGGTCCAGGCTAGATTATTTACAGAATAGCATACGTGTGCGTCGTTGACCATGACCTTTGTGCAAAACCATATCGGTGCCTACCATTTAAGCAAAGTTGAGAGCAGACACAATGTATCTTGATGCGCCAGTGCCCATCAGCGACAACCAGATAGACGACTTCGGTTTGAAAACACGTTCATGTTATACTAAAGATATGAATGCGTACATTTCATTTCGTTATTGCTGAGTGAGTATTGCGTATAGAATTATGCCCCATCTCCCATTGAAGGTCACTTGTCATAACAGTTTAGAATATTTGTTTGTTTTCAATCTTCTAACTTTATACAAGCTACACTGAACAAGGTCCTTTACTGGTCGGGTATATTAAGTATTGTTTAAATGTTAGCAAGCAATTTGTATGGATGACAAATTGGTATTATCGGTTTATTGACTAAGCACGTTCATCAGACAAGCGACATTATTATTGGACCGTTCAAGCACTGATAACGGTTAATTACTGGAATTGTATTTACAAGACGGAGATAAGAAGACACTGCCTGCTGATATAAGGGTGTGTTTGGTACACATGGATTGGATGTGTGCATTGATGGAAAATCGATATTTTGATCGAAAAGTTAACCTTGATCTCTCATGAACGTATGGTGCGGATTTTCACTAATAGGTTAGTCTATGGCGTTTGATTTTGTTTCTCTTTTGTCCTCAGTATATATGATCGTTGAACTCGCACAACCAAAACACATCTTATGAAACGACACCTTATGAAAAAACAAAACAAAATAAAACTTGCTTGAATGGCGGTTAAATTGAGTAAAGTAAAACGAAGTTGAATGTTTGGAAATGCTTGAACATGAATATTGATCGATGTCAGTCAGTTAAAGACAGATCAGGCCAATGTCAACGAGGTAAAGGCTGACTCACACTTAGTCACCTTGCCTGATTCATTTAACAGAACTGGTTTGCCTGTAGTCACCACGCAGAGTGTCCAACATTAAAGAAACGACGAGAAGCAGACGACCGTACAATCTTGAAGCTTTTGACGGGAGCTGCATCTTTTAGAGACAGCTGCTGAAAGCAGCTTCTGTCAATCATGCCATTGTTACCCACTTCACATCACATTTCATATTTTAGTGGAGCAGATAAATGCAAAAATGGCCCAAAATAGTTCACTTAATCATGCAAGCGTAAAAGTTAAATACATTCTCAAAGGACCACTCTTTCATAAAAGGGCTTTAGCCACGCAAAAATCCAAGATAGCTGCCTCTTTTTTCAAGATGGCTGCCATCCATTGGCCAATGGCATCGCCATAGAGAATAGGGATGTTACTGACGCATTTATCATGGTTTATGATCCCATTCAATCACCAGTTTATTCATTTACTGAAGTTAATTTTGTCACGCTTCCAATTCCAAGTTCTAAAACTTTAATTTTCTCAAAGGGTGTAAACATTATTTACAAGGTGTTCATATACTAATAGAGTGAATGTCAGTACACAACCAGGGCACACTGGTGACTTCACTGCTGTGTAACAGTGTCAGCTTATCTA